TATTAAGTGTTTCTCAGCCATTTGAGATTTTTCAATTGAGAATTCTTGGTTTATGTTCTTGGATCTTTTTTTTTTTTTATGTCTAGTTTCTTGAGTTCTTTATATATCTTGGAAATCATCCCTTTGTCAGATATAGGGTTGGTGAAGATCTTTTCCCGTTCTGTAGGCTGCCATTTTTTGTCCTATTGGTGGTGTCCTTTGCCTTACAGAAACTTCAATTTCATGAGGTCCTGTTTATTAATTGTTGATCTTAGAGTCTGTGCTAATGGTTTTATGTTCAAGTAGTTGTCTCCTGTGCCAATGTGTTCAATTCTATTTCCTGTTTCTTCTATCAGGTTCATGTATCTGGATTCATGTTGAGGTCTTTTGACTTGAGCTTTGTGTGGGGCAGTAGGTATGGATCTATTTGCGTTCATCTACATGTGACATCCAGTTATGCCAGCACCACTTGTTGAAGATGCTTTCTTTTACCCATTTTATAACTCTTTGGCTTCTTTTTCAAAAATCAGGTGTCCATAGGTTTGTGGATTTACGTCTGGGTCTCAATTCGATTCCATTGGTTACCTGACTCTTCTTATGCCAATACCACACTATCTCTTCACTCTTTAAGCCCTCTTCTTCTCCTCACATGGGCCTTTCTGGCTCCCTGAGCCAGAAAGACATTCCACATTTCAATAGACAAATCTAAAACTTCAAAATTAGGATCCACATAATAGAGAGGTTATGCAGTATTTTGGGGGGGTGGGTAGAGTCTGGGATACTTTGCTTAGTATCATGTTTTTCTAGCTCCATCCCTTTTCCTGCAAATTTCCTAGGTCCATTTGCTAAGAATACCTCTTTCTATCTGACCCTAAGATAGTATCTGTCTTTTATGGGTGGGTCTGATTTCTTGGAAGTAGCAATAGATGATTTTTGTTTTTTGATACAATCTATGAGACTGTGTCTTTTAATTGAGAAAATAAGACTTTTAATAAAGAGGCAGGTGAATTTCTGTAGTTTGAGGCCAGCCTGGTCTACAAAGCTAGTTCCAGTTCTACCAGGATTATGCAGTGAGACCTTGTCTCAAAAAGCCAAACCAAGTCAAAACAAGCTAGGTGTGGTGGAACATATATTTAATGCCAGCATGATCTCTGTATCAAGTTCCCAGGACTGTCAGAGCTACATAGTCAAACCCTGTCTCAAAACTAAACAAAAAACATCTGTAGACATGAGGCAGTGTTGGCACACATCTTTAATTCAAGCACTCTTGGCAGAGGCAGGTGGATTCTATGAGTTTGAGGCCGGCCTGGTCTGTAGAGGGAATTCTAGGACAGCTGAATCTACACTGAAAAACCCTGTCCTTTATGTGTGTGTGTGTTTTTAAAAGTAATTCTTAGTATAAATTTATCTGATTTATTGTTTATTGGTTTGCAGTTGTTTAGGGTTCTACTCTATGATTAGCCCAGAAACAAACAGAATGCTTGTTGAGTAGCCACTGTGCTTGGCTGTGAGATTATATAGTGGGGAGAATAATAAGGCCCCACTGTGAGGGTACAGCTGGGTGCCGAGGCTAAGTTGGAAGTACCCTTGATCATTCTACATGTTAGGAATTTCTGAGTCTTCTTTTTACTAGGATTATAGGGTTTTTGTTTACAATTCTGGTTGAGATTAAAGGCCTATGTCTCCCACACTCTGCAAGTCTGGCAGTTTTGATAATCTTTTCAAAGAGCCAACTTTTAGGTTCATTATTTTTTCTCAGTTTTTTTTGTTCTAGATTACATTTATTTTGTTTTTTTTTCCTTTTCCTTTCTTTTCTTTCTTTTTTTTTTTTTTTTTCCCAAGACAGGGTTTCTCTGTGTAGCCTTGGCTATCCTGGAACTCACTCTGTAGACTAGACTGGCCTTGAACTCACAGAGATCCTCTTGCATCTGCCTCCTGAGTGCTGGGATTAAAGACATGTGCCGCCACTGACTAGCTCTTTATCATTTCTTAAATGTAATTGTTTTAGTTTTTCTTTTTCTTTGCTTCCGTCAGAAGGTGAGGGATGTTAATGGTTTGAGATCTTTTTAAGATAAACGTTTGTAGCTATAAATTTTCTTAGAAATACTTCATTGACTACACCGCATAAATCTTGCTATTTCATATTTTCATTATCATTTACCTCTGTATTTTTTCCAATTTCCTTTATGATTTTCTTAAATTGATCCATTGGTTTCTTGGGAATGTATTGTTTAGTATCTGTATCTTTGTAAATATACTAACTCGTTCTGTTATTTCTACTTTCATCCAATTGCAGTTGGACACAGTACATTTTATAATTTCAGTACTTTTAAATTATCATCGCTTGTTCAGTGTCTTATTTTCGTTAGTCTGTGTACGTTTTCCTGTGTATTGATATGTACATATGAGACCAAGTGTTCTCAGAGAATTAATCCCCTGGAACTAGTGTTTCAGAAGTCTCCTGATGTGATCGGTGTTCCATCCTGCTGATGAAAACAGCAGCAAGCATTCTTAACCTCTTCCTCATCCCTCCAGTACTCTCTGTCCCCATGTAGTACTGATTGACTTGGAATTTATATAAACTAGGCCGACCTTGATCTTGCAGTGATCTCCCTTCATCTTCCTGAGTGCTAGGATTATGGATGTATACCTTCACACCCAGTTTAAATGGTTCATGTTTAAATTTTTTCTCTGTACACATCTTAGTATGGGGCAAAATATCTCTGAATGTGTGTTGAGTTTATTTATACTGCTTTTGTCTTTCTTGTTGGTCTTCTGTGAGTTTTTGGTGGTACTGGTAGGCATTGTCTTCAGAGCCTTGTGTGTAAAATAGGTATATCTCCTTCCCTGAGCTGTCTAGTTTTTATGTTTAGTGAAAATGGCAATTTTACAAGTGTTCTACTATTTTTCTTGTCATTTACAATTTTTCTTTATGTATTTTAGGCTTTGTAGTTTTGTTACCTGTGATAGAATCTGATTGTTATTTCTCTATTCTTGGCCTCTTATTCAGGGGACAAGATAAAGGATGTGCACACAGGGTGCACAGTAACAAACTTTATTCTAAAGCAAAGCCACAGTGTTTAATCAGAAAGAGACACTATCCTTAGTCACACAGCTGGTCACATGATTGAGATTACTAAGGACCTAAATAATTGTTTGGGCTTCCTATTGAGAAGAAGGATCTGGTTACTAAGGGATTTCGTTTTGTTTTGATCGACAAGCATGGAATATATAAGTCTTTGCTCACTGTGCATATCCCTTTCATTAATAAATGTTTTAGTTAGAATTTCTGTTGCTGCCATGAAGCACCATGACCAAAAAAAGGAAGCTGGGGAGGAAAGTGTTTATTTGGCTTATTCTTTTAATCACAGTTCATCATTTTTTTATTCTTCTTCCCTGAGACAGGGTTTCTCTGTAGCTTTGGAGCCTGCCCTGGAACTAGCTCTTGTAGACCAGGCTGGCATCTAACTCCCGAGTGCTGGGATTAAAGGTGTGCGCCACCACTGCCCGGCCATTTTTTGCTCGACTCTGTTTTATGGCGACTTTGCCTTCTTCTGGCTGCTGTTGTGTGATTTTTTTCCCCCACCTTTCTTTCTTGAGAGTAGGTCTTCATGGTTAGCTTAGACTGGCCTCAAACTCACTGTATACGTCAGGATGCTCTTGAATTCTCAGCCTCCCACACATTGAACCTTTACCATGCCCAGTTTCAAACTTTCTGTTTCTAAATCTAAGTCTTAGGAAAATTCAAAAACATGAATTTGGTGTTTGCTTTATTTAGTCCTATATTTTGATATAGTTGACATTTAGCTTTGATATTTTTGTTTTCTATTTCCTTGTTTCATCCTTTTGTTTATATTAAGAGGATTTTTTTTAGTATACCATAATTTCTTTAATAATTTTTCATCATTTTTTTGGGGGTGGGACCAATTCCTTCAACGAGGTATTTAGGGTGGTAACAAGACTGGCATGTTTCCCTTGGAGTGACATCTTATAGGAGTAGGCTGTTGTGTGGACATTTCCCACGGTGTTCTCCCAGCAGGGATATACCTTATAAAAGCATGGTCCTTGGGCTTCAACTGTTCTTCTTGTGCCAACTGAGGGATACCTCTGGTGAGTGGGAATTCTGGGAAGGAAAAAAAAAAAGTAAACTTGCCTTCCTATGGATGATTCCTTACCAGATCCTTAATCCTCCCTGAGAATTAACTCTGAAGGAACAATGGCATGTCTTCACCAAGGGTAATACCATTCTTCACTATAACAGTGTCATACTTGGAATGTTTGGATTTTGGAGCATATTGGCTTTCATTGTCTCAGGTTAAAAATGTTTTGGGAAAGTCTAGGCAAATATTCTAAAAATTCTGTAATACCTCAAGTCAGAGGAATTTTGGATACTTAATCTGTATGACATTTTTTTCTGGGGATTTTCTGTTCTGTTTGGTCAGTTTATGTAATACTGTGCTGTTCCCATACCATCTTTTAAAAATGTTTTATGTGTATGATTGTTTTGCTTGCATGTATGTTTGGACCACTTGTGTACAGTGTCCTCAGAGGCTTGGAGAGGGCATTGGTCCTCTGGAACTGAACTTAAAGAGAGGATTGTAGGTTTCCATATGGGTTCTGCAAGATGATCAAGTACTGCTGAGGCCCCCACCTATCTTAATATACTTTTATAATATCAGTATCATCAAGGAAAAGTATTTTGCCTACTTTATATTCTCAGATTAAAAATATTTTTGTACAGCTAATTTTTATTTTTTAATAAGACAGGCTCTTACTATGTACCCTCACCTGACCCTGAGCCTGTATTCCTTTGGGCTTAGCTTCCTAGTCCTAGAATTATAGGTATGTGCTGCATGCTCAGCTTAGCTTTGAATGAAAACATTTTGCTAATTATTGAATATGGACTTCATTATATTTCGGCATTTATTCTGAGCATTTCGTAGTGTTGGAATTGGAGACAAAAGTATGTGATGCTTGTGTTTTCAGTTTTAGAGTTACAGTTGTTTTTCTTTTAATTATAGGGACAGTTTTGATCAAAAGTAACAATGGTCAGTTGATGCTGGTATCTCCTCAGCAAGCTGTAACAGGAGCCAAGACCACAAGTAACATAACTCCAAGGCCAGCAGTACCAGCAAATACTCAAACAGTCAAGATCTGTACCGTGCCGGTAATCTACCTTAATTTTCTTTGTTTCTAGCTACTATCTTCCTATAAATGTGGACCTGTTTTCCAGTAAAAATTTGAGATAATTTAAGTGCCAATTTAGTTGATATTTGGTAATTGCTAAAATAATGAAAATTATACCTTTATACTCAGCGATTTTATTGTCCTCAATGGAATTTTTCAAAGGGGCAGTATGCATCTGTTGAAAGAAAACAATCATTCTGAGTCAGGGTTTTAGAATGTGTGTGTATGTGGTTGTGTGCCTGCATGTGTTTTCATGAGTCTGATGGCCAGACTGATAGCCATTGGATATCGTCCTCAGTTGCTCTTAAGTGTATTTTTTGAGACAGGTTTCTCATTGAACTTGGAGCTCACAGATGGACTAGATTCTAGGCTAATCAGCAAACTCCCAGAATACTCCTGTCTTTGCTTTCCCAGCAATCCCCCTACCTGTTGGTTTTGGTGGTGTTGTTTTGTGTGTGTTGTGTGTGTATGTTTACTTTTTGTATAGTGTTGAGGTCTGATTTTAGATCTTCATGCTTATGAAAAAGGCACTTTACTGATTGAGCCATCTATCTATCTCTGTTTCACTTTTAATTTGTGTTTAGTAAGACTCCTATTTAAAATATTCATTTCATCCATATATTATAGAAATTACTGGGCTGGAGAGATGGCTCTTCCAAAGGTCCTGAGTTCAATTCCCAGCAACTATGTGGTGGCTCACAACCATCTGTAATGGGGTCTGGTGCCCTCTTCTGGCCAGCAGGCATACACACAGACGGAATATTGTATACATAATAAATAAATATAAAAAAAAGAAATTACTTCCAAGTAATATGAGTCTGCTTTAGTATTTCATTAGTTTTGTCTTGTTTGAAGTGACTTTTTTAAAATAAAGATGTTGATCTTTTTTTGTATCTGAAATTACTTTGTGTCAGTGAATTTAAAAATATTCTTATGAACGTCCGTCTTAGTTAAGGTTTCTATTGTGTGGAAGAAACACCATGACCATGACAACTCCTGTAAAGAAAAACATTTAATTGGGGCTGACTTACATATCAAAGGTTTAGACCATTATCATCATGGCAGGATATGGCAGCGGGCAGGCAGACATGTTGCTGGAGAAGGAACTGAGAGTTCTATATCTGGATCTGCAGGCAGCAAGGAGAGAGAGACACACTGGCCAGGTTTGAGCATCTTGAGACCTCAAAGCCTGCCCCAAGTGATATACCTCCTCCAGCCATGCCACATCTCCTTCAACAAGGCCATAATAGTGCCACTCTCTATGGGTGTTAGGGGGGCCATTTTCATTCAAACCATGTTTATTTATGGTGTTCAACATGTTTATTTATGGTGTTAGGGAGATAGTTTGTTTGGTAAAGTACTTGTAGCCCAAGCGTGAGGATTTGAGTTTGATATCTAACACTCACTAAACAAACAAATGCCAGGTGCTATATCGTATGCACCTGTGATCATAGCAGAAAAGTCAAGAGGATTCCAGGACTTGCTGTCTGGCCAGTAGAGCCTAATTCAAGAGCTCTCAGTGTAGTAAGATACTCCCTCAAAAATAAAGGTAGAGAATAATTGAGGTAGATATCCTATGCAAAGGTTGACTGCTTTCCTGCCTATCCTCCTCCCTCTTTTCCTTCTTTTAAAAGCTTTATTATTACATTTATTTGTGTGTGTGTGTGTCTGTGTGTGTGTGTGATATGCATGCTGTGGCTGTACTTGTACAGGTCAGAGGCCAGAAGTCACTCCTCTCCTACCAGGATGGAACTCAGGTCATCAGACTGGCAGCAAGCTCCTTTACCTTTATGCCATCTTGCTGGTCCTACTTGCAGTCTTGATACTAATTCCTCAATTAGTTATTTTCTCTGCCAATAGTGCATTTTCTTTCTAATTTATTTTAACTATGGGCTAACTGATTTTTGTTTATAATTAAATATTAAATTGTATTTGTATAACAAATCAAGTTTAAGATTTTATTTTTTATTTTGTTACTGTATGTATGTATGAGTGTGGGTGCATACATGCTACAGTGCTTGTGTGGAGCTCAGAGGACAACCTTTAGGAGTTAGATTTGTCTTCATCATGGGTTCTGGGAATCATATGCAGATTATAACAAGAGCTTTTTATCCCCTGAACAGTATTCTTGGCCCAAGTTTAAAATTTTAGTTGGAAAATTAGATCTAAATTGGAAAATTAACATAAAAGAAAAAGTTATTTTGTGAATCAGTTGCCTTCTTTAGGAAATGTGAGCTGGCCAAATGACCGGTTAAGTCATAGTATAGAATGGTCATAAAATACGGTATATAGCAAATATTTTTGCTAAAGTCTTTTCATTTTCTTCCCAATACTGATTGATTTAAAATAATTTATATTGACTGGGTGTGGTAGCATATGCCTTGAGGCAGAGACAGGTAGAGCTCTGTGAGTTCCAGGCCAGCCTGGTTGGTGTATTGAGATCTAGGCTAGCCAAGACTACATAGTGAGACCCTTTCTCGATAAAACAAAATAAAAAATAAAACCAAAATGACTAGTATCAATAACTTTGCTATCTTGTCCTTTTTTCCCAAGAATTCTAGCTCACAATTAATGAAGAAAGTAGCAGTGGCTCCTGTTAATAATTTGACACAGATAGGAACTCCTGTGGCATCCACTGCCTCCAGTGCTTCCTCAGGACAAGTAAGTGGTGTGTGTGTGAGATATTGAAGTGTCTAACTATGTGACGTTGAAGACATATAATATATGATGCTGTTTATCAGGCTGAACCATTGGAGATGTAGCAATAAGAAAAAGTGGTATTTTATTAGACATCCATTTCATAAATGCATTCAAGTAATATAAATACATCTAACAACCACATATTACAGATTCCAGAAGGAGATGCTAAAGTAGAATATGATGGATAAGTTAATTTTTAGAAATCCTATTTGTGAATAGAGGGAGAGTAAGTTTAGTCTAAGTTCATGATTGCTAAAGTCCCAGCCAACCTAATTGAGATTGTTAGAGCACATGTACCTTGTCGGCATTGGATCACTGCTGGGCTTTACTGGACTTTCCTGGGGGAAATTACACAAGGTCTCTTCTTTGCAGCAGAGACCACATTACTGGAACTCATAACTGAAAGTCATCCAATAGAATTCTAGCAGCCAAGACAGTACAAATCTCTCCTTGCAATGGTTCATTGACATTTATATCTTATTTCACTTGTCTATATACTTCTTGTACATGTTACAGACAACTGTCCTGGGATGCTAGAGAACTTCTTTCCTTTGGAAATACAGAGGTTAAAAGAATAGGTTTTGTAGCCTTATTCCTACAGCCTACACTAAATCATACCAGTTCTCCGTTCATTTTATATCACCCTCATTCTTGGCCTACTACTGTGCTGATCTTGGGACTGCCTATTAGTAGAATCAGATTTTCCTCTTAGGAATCTCTGTGGATCCCTATATGGATATGTTTCTGCCCTATCTTGGAATTTTTGTTTTTCTTCACTTGTAACAGAATAGCACAGATTGAGTAATTTATAAGGAATAGAAAGTTGTTTGACTCATGATTCTGGAGATGGGAAGTCAAAGATCACAGTGTCAGTATCTGGGGAGAGCTTTATCCTGTGGCAGAGATATCCTCTTTCAAGAAAGCATGGAGTCTTAGGAAGAGGAGAGGTAACATAGAGGAGGGGAGTGATGGGAGCTGAACTTACCTTTTTAGGAGTTTCTCCTAGGAATGAATCTCCATTCCTGTAATAACAGCCTTAATCCATTTACAATTTAAAAATACTCATGCCTTGATCACTTCTTAAAGGTTTCGTTTCTTGAAACCAGTATAATGACAATTATATTTTAACATGAGTTTTGAAAGGGATATTTAAACCATAGGATCCTCTATTATGTGATAACAACTCTACATCTTTTCAGATGATGGGAGTTAATTATCCCTCTCAAGGTTCAGACTCAACTTTCCATCTGGTCCCTGAAATACATAGGCACTGGAAGTACCAGGTGACAGCTGTAGTGTCTGGTCTCCTAAGGAAAATGTGTCCCTGTGAGCAGAAATGGAAAGTACAGAGTCTCCCAGTGGTTATTAGGACTGAGTAAGGGTCTATTCATACATCTGCTCCTAAGTTCCTTGATCCATGTATTTGTCCTACCACGAGGGCAAAGTACCATATAGAATGCTTTGACTTACGGATTATCCTAAGTCTTGGAAGATAGAATCCCATCCTTAATAAGTGTATCGACCCAGTTTATCTGTGCTTGCTATGCTTGTAGCTTCTGAGTAATGCTGTATGTGAGCCACTAGTGGGTTCCATGGTCTGGGGAACAGTGTTATGTTCCTTCTGTCGTGAAGGAGATGCATCGTCGTGGTGCTTACCTAGATAGACTACTGTACTGATGATGAGTCCTTCTGTTGGTGTTGTAAAATTTATTTAATCATTCTTTTTATATACCTTATTTTCTACTAATTGGCGTCATAAGCACAAGTCTGATTTAAAATAGTGCTTTAAAAATTATTGGCTAGCCATTTTTGATCACTTAGTGTTCTTTACATTTTCTAGGTATTAAATATCTTGCCATCCATTAATCACTTCATTTTACCCTTGTTAATTGGAGTATTATATCCATCTATATATGTGATAATAAGTTAGAGAGGCTAAGAAACTGACCTGATTTCTATGTGGAAGAATGTCTATTTTAGCCTCAATGTCTTAACTTTGGAAACTATTCTTGAACTAGAGTACTTATTGATTAGGCCCAACTGTATATTCTCTCTAGAAAGTGTATTTTTTTAATAGGTGTCAGTATTTGTTTAAAATGACTTGGGAAATATGTCTTATTGTTGTTTATGAAACAGAACCTATTTTGAGGTCTTTTGTTCAGTGTTTGTTTAATGAAGATATAATTAGGCCTATTGTTAAGAACATAAATGTCTAAATGATCCAATTTAGAATTAGTATTTTATTTTTTCATTTTGGTTTTTCAAGATTTTTTTTTTTGTATAATTGCTTTGCCTGTCTTGGAACTTGCTTGATAGACTTGGCTGTCCTCAAACTCATAGAAATCTGCCTTCCTCTGTATCCTGAGTGCTGGAATTAAAGGCATGTGTCACCACTGCCCTGCTAGATTTAGTATTTCTAATTGAATATGAACAAGCCTAATGTAATTGCTCTTTCAGACAGGTACAGAAAATGACCTTCTTGAAATATAGCACAATAACTAGCACAATCTAGTAAACATTCATAAGTGATTTTCACACAGATCCATTTCATATATAATCCAGCCATTTTCTCTGCTGTCTCCAAAATATATTTAATTAATGCAATTCAGTCTTGCTAATATTGGAAATACCATTGACTGCTGTAGAATATTTAATTCTAAGACAGAGTTATGATTGAGTTTAAGAAAGTCTCTTCAATACCGAAGTGGAAAAAACAGGGTAAAGTATCTCCCCATGCCCTTTAAAGATCAGAGTAGACATTAATACATATTTGGTAAGGTACAGCAAGAATTATGAAAGACAGCTTTGTGTTGGAGTATATAATTTTTCATCATTGCAACAAATAATTGAGGTAAATCAACTGGAAAAGTTTTATTTTGTCTCACAGTTTTGTAGATTTTATCTGTCACCTATAGGTCCTGTAGTGGCACAGGATCGTGAGTATGTATGATGCAGGGCATAGTGTAGTGACTCTTTCTTTGTACCAGATTCCCAAATAATGACATGGATACTTATTAATTATGAAAGCTTGACCTTAGCTTAGGCTTGTTTCCAACTAGCTCTTACAACTTAACCCATATTTTTAAATATACATTCTGCCATGTGACTTTTCCTCTCCACGTGGCTCTTTACCTTTACTCAGTGTGCACATCCGACTTGCTCCAAGTCTGCTGGCAAAATCCACATCTCTTCTTCCCAGAGTGCTTTCTCTCCCTGAAGTCCTACCTATTCTTTCTTGCCTCGCTTTTTAAAAAAACCAGTCAGAAGGTGCCTTAGACAGAGACATCTTTACAAGTGTACAAGAAGATTGTCCCACAACAGGGTAGTTCACTTTATTACAGGAAGTCAAGGACAGGAAGAAGTGATTGCCAATAGCCCCTTCAAGGGCGCATCTCTAATAACTGGGCAGTAGGTTCCATTTTCTCATGTTCTGTCACCACTCAATAGTATCATGGGGCTGGGCCACAAGCTTTAGAGTATGGGCCTTTAGAAGTCATTTAAGAATCAAACCAGAAATTGGTGGAAAAAGAAAATATTGACAAGGAAGTAAGATTCTGTGAATCCTTCCCCTGTTCACGGATGACACCATTGCGTGAGCTGACAGTTCACTGGATACTGTTTGTTTCATACACAGCAGACACTACTGCTCTGAAGAACCACTCCCACCAGGCCTTGAAGGCATCATAATTACTAGTTAAAATTACAAGCCACACTTTTCTAAATGCAGCCTTATAGATTATATGCCTAATTAGTAATTTTGTAGTCCAGGTTTAACTTAACTTAGTGTGTAGCTGAGGTTGACATTAAACTACCGGTTCTCTATTTTCACCAAGTGATAGGATTTTAGATATGCTGTGAACCACTCTTACCCCTGAAGAGTCTTCCTTATTGTTACAAACATAAAAGTTTAAGAGTCTTCAGAAGGATTCAGAAGCCATGTCACAGGATTTGTCTCTGGAAAATGTGGAAGAGTTCAAACTGGGGAAGGAATTCACTTGGAATACTGTATTTAAGATTTCTGTTTAATGAAATTGGACTTTTTGGAAAAATCATCCTTTAAAAAAGTTACTTTAGGTGCATGAATACTTTACCTCCATATATGTATATGTCCTGTGTGTATTCATGTTGTGGAGGGCAGAAGAAGAGGGTTGGATCTCTATGTAACTAGAATAGAATTAGAGATAGTTCTGATCCACCTTGAACTCAGGTTCTCCAGAAGAACACCCACAAGTGGTCTTAATCACTGATCCGTCTCTCCAACACCTTAATTTTACCCAGAATTTCATCACTGGTTTTAGTCATCATTAATCAGTATTTTAAATTTACTTCCCATTTTACTAGAACATTCTGTCTGTATGTACCAGTTTAACTGAAAGGAACTAGGGTGTCCATTTACCTCTATCTTGACTTTTACAGAAAGAACTTTTCTTGAGAAGAATGCAAGAATTCTCTGTGCATGTTGTTCCTTCTACTATGCTTTTTTTGTTATGTAATTTTTAGTACATTTGTTGCTGTGTCTCTGGTTTTCTAATTTTGTTCTTAGCTTATAATTTTTTGTTAAACTTTCCGTCCTGTAGGTGGTGCTAGAGTCACACCACCTCGTGATAACTGTAGAAATTAATAAAATTCCTTTCAATGTGGAAATAAGACATCCCTCTCTTGTAATGCTATTATGCTTATTTTGATGGTCCACATGAGATCAGCATAGGTGAGCATATGAAAATTAGTTAATAACTCTGTTTTATACTTAAGAAGAAGCAGGAAAGTACATAAAAGTATGAAGATTTGCTATTACAAATATATTTCTCGAGAAGTGCAAATGTGTATATGTGTTGTCTTGTGTGATCATCACCTGTGTATGTATGGTGTTGAATAAAGTTTTGCTCAACTGCTCTCTACCTTATTTTAAACAGTGTTTCTCACTGAACCTGGAACTTGTCATTTGGCCTATTGTGGCTGTCCAGTGAGGATACTCCTCCCTGAGATTTACCCTTCTCCACCACACAAACACTTGGAGTTCTGGAGTGCACCACCATGCCTGGCTTCTGTGTGGGCGCTGATGTTTGCATTCAGTCGTCTTCCCAGATCCATTAATAATATATTTTTATTAACATCTTAAAGACTTTCGCGTGGCATTGTTTTTCACAGGCCACCCGAGGGACAGTAAATTTCTATTTTTGTTCTTGCAGGCGGGTGTCAAGATTAGGAGCTCAAAGTGACTTGCTGGTGACTAGCAGTGTAGTAGAGGACAGTGAGGAGTAGAATGGTGCTGAGAGTGAGGTGCGCCCTGCTCTAGTCCATGTTCTGACGGACTACCGTCTGAAAGCAGAGATGTCAGATTCATTTGTAGTCCTTTCAGGGTAAAGTGAAGTTCCCACTAAGGGATCATAGCAATACTTATTTAACTTTATGTTGACTTAATTTCAGTCTGTGACTGTACCTCCTGTCAAGCCAGTGAATACTGTAACTATCCTGAAGCCATCAAGTGTGGGAGTATTATCTACCCCCTCAAATGACTCCAGTCTCAAAGCAGAGACCCCAGTAGCTGCTCAGATTAGTCTTTCTCCGGTAAGCTTTCAGTTGTATCTGTATATAGGTTTTTTTCTATGTTCTATTTTCTGTGTGCTCTCATTTGTGATTATTTTTCTATTATAGGCAGTGCTAGAAAATGTGAAAAAATGTAAAAACTTCCTTTCAATGCTAATAAAACTCGCTTGTAGTGGATCTCAGTCTCCAGAAATGGGGCAGAATGTGAAGAAGCTGGTGGAACAACTCTTGGTAAGCTAGTATTATATAATTTTTGCAAGCATTATGGGATTTCATAGAACATGTTTCAAATGGGAAATGAGAATGTTTTAATGAGATTTGTTTTAAATATACTTGCTAAAACTTTTTACTTCATTAAAGCTTTGTAATTACTATAGCTAGACAGTCTATGTACAAAAGAGTAAATCTTTATTTAATTTTACCATATATCTAAGATGAACTGAATTTTGAATATATGTGATTTTTTCTTTTTTTTTTTTTTTTTTTTTTTTGGTTTTTCGAGACAGGGTTTCTCTGTGGCTTTGGAGCCTGTCCTGGAACTAGCTCTTGTAGACCAGGCTGGCCTCGAACTCACAGAGATCCACCTGCCTCTGCCTCCCGAGTGCTGGGATTAAAGGCGTGCGCCACCACCGCCCGGCTATATGTGATTTTTATACCAATCTTTTGTATGTATATTTTGTGAACAGATAGCAAGTTATAAATTCACCAGATACCATTTCTAGTTATAGATTTATTTATCTCAGACCAACAGACTGCAGTTCTCAAAATTTTGGTATAGGATACATTAATATTCTTAAAAATAAATAACCCCTCAAGGTATTTTTGTTTGGCCCTTGGAATTAAAACTATTTATTCAACTAAGAATAACAAAGCCATTGTACATTAACATATGTAATATTTAAAGAAAAACTACAGTTTCCAAAATAATAAAACTGAGTGGAAAATGACATTGATTTGCATTTTGTAAATTAATGCTCCACTTAATAGAAAGCATCTGTGTTGTATGAAGCAACGGGCTGCTTCCCTGCCGCCCCAGCTCCTGGCCGCCTGGCTAGCTTATGCCCCAAAATAATTACACAGAAACTGTATTATTTTAAACACTGCCTGGCCCATTAGTTATAACCTCTTATTGGCTAGCTCTTATATATTGATCTAACCCATTTCTAATATTCTGTGTAGCACCACGAGCTGGCTTACCAGGAAAGATCTTAACCTGCGTCTGTCTGGAGTGGGAGAATCATGGTGACTCACTGACTTGGCTTCTTTCTCCCAGCATTCTGTTCTGTCTACTCCGCCTATCTAAGCTGCTGTCCTATCAAAAGGGCCAAGGCAGTTTCTTTATTAACCAATAGACATATGACCCTCCTCCATCACATCTGGATATTCTTCCCTTATTTTATGAGTTGTTAGAGAATTTGTTGTCAAAGTTAGGAAATTACTATTTTCTTGTAGAAAAGTAGTTGGAGTATTAAGCATTATTTTAGTAGCCTTCTGTAGATCCATGTGGATATTGTGTAGTCTACTAGTTCATTATTATACTGTGAATTAATATCTTTACTGATGTATAATTTTTATATAGCATGCATTGTTTAAAACAAAATGCTGATTTTTAAAATTATGCAGTTCTTTTAAAAGTTTCCATATAGTTATGTATTAAGGTAATTGATTTTTAATTTCATATAACCTTAACATATATACATCTGTATATAGCTATAAATGTCTACCTAACTACTTATATTATATCGTGTGTGTCTGACTGGTGTGTATAAGTGTATGCTTGCTGTACACAGAGGCCAGAGGAAGGTATCAGGTACCCTTGTTTATCATCCTCTTTTTTATTCGAGTCAGGGTCTCTCATTGAACCTGAAGTTTTTGGTTTTTTTGCAAGACTGGCAGTTAGGATGCCCTAGAAATCCTTTCACTGCCCAGATAACATTGGGTTACAAGTGCACTGGAGATTATATCTGATTGTTGTGTTGATATTGGAATCCAAAAGCAGGTCTTTTTACACAGAAAGCTCTTAACCACAAGCCACCTCTCTGTCACATAAGCATTCTTTGTTTTGTTTTTGTTTTTTTGGGACAGGGTTTCTCTGTGTAACATTCCTGGCTGTCTTGGAAGTCGGTTTGAAGACCAGGCTGGCCTTGAACTCATAGAGATCTGTCTGCCTCTGCCTTCCAAGTACTGGGATTAAGGATGTATGCCAATACCACCAGGGCTTTAAATTTTAGGAAGCTATCAAGTTTAGAGAAAGAGTTATTTCCAGAATTGTGATTCTTTGCATTTTGGAATCATCTTCTTCATGAAAAGAATACTGTCTGTCTTGACTGTTTTCTCTGATTGGGTATATCTATTTCTTATTCATTTACTTCTCTGGTAACATGATATAACAAGCCCTTGTAAATGTGGAATTTACCACTTATGAAAAACTTGTCTATAATCATGAATCAAGTACGTTGCTTCTTTGTATTTTTAAAGTTCATTTAGTTTTTAAGAGACCGGCTCACTGCTGTTATACTGGCCTTCAGTTCCTAGGCTAAAGTGATTCTCTTGTCAACATCCTGAATAGCTTTCCTCACAGGCATTCACCATTGCTCTTAGTTTTTTAAAATATTTGTAGATTGGGGAGGCTGTGGTCAGAATGTAAAATAAATAGTAAATTAAATAAAAAAGCATTTGTAGATTGAAACATATCTTTTTTCCATTTTTTTTAGGATGCAGAAATTGAAGCAGAAGAATTTACTAGGAAACTATATATTGAACTCAAGTCTGCACCTCAGCCACACCTTGTACCTTTTCTTAAGGTAGGGATGTATTTCTCTGGAAAAATTGTTTGGGTTAAATTACTTTAATTAAATCTTTCGGAAGATACTTAATGATGAGAGGGACTTTAGTACATTTCGAAAGCACAAGACAACATTCATAGTATTGATTTGAGCAGTTTAGAAAAACAGGCATAACAGTAGCTTTAAAAATTCACTTGCTTTTAGTTACGGTGGGGGCGCTTATATCATATGTACGAAGGTCAGAGGACAATTTGAAAGAGTAGGCTTTCTTCTTTCCCATGGAGTTTCATAGTAGAAAACTCTGCTTGCCAGGTTTGGTGGCAAACACATTTCACCCACTGAGCTATCCCACTGGTTCTCCCCGACCCCACAGAATAACATCTTTCTCATGAATGTAACTTGATGACTTGATATTGTATAATGTTTGTATTGGAGTATTTTCAAAGATTTTTGTTTTTAGTTTGTGTGTGTGTGTGTGTATTGAAACCAGAGGTTGAGGTTGAGCATCTCCCTAAATTATTGTCTACCTTATATATTGAGACAGAGTCTCTCATAAAACACAGTTTATGGATTTGGCTAGTTCTATTAGCCAGTTTGCTTCAGGAATGCCTTGTCTCTTTCTTCCAAGTGCTGGGTTTCATGGGTGCTGGGGATTCAAACTCAGATTCTTAAGTGCTTTTTTTTGTTTGTTTGTGTTTTTGGAGACAGGGTTTTTCTATAGCCTGTCCTGGACCTTGCTCCGTAGACCAGGCTGCCTTAAACTAACAGTGATCCACCTCTCTCTGCCTCCCCAGTGCTGGGATTAAAGGCCTGTGACACCAGCACCTGCTCTCTTAAGTGCTTTAAATTCTGAGTCTTCTCCCTATTCTCCTTAGTTTTTTTGAGACAGGGTTTTAGGTCTTCCAGGCTAGCTCCTACTTAACATGTAACTGAGGAGTACCTCGAGTTTCTGATAATTCTGCCTCTACCTTCTAAGGGCTGGAGTTGTAAGCCAAGGGTCCTGACTCAAGGGGGGCAGGGAAAGAGAGAGAGAGAGAGAGAGAGAGAGAGAGAGAGAGAATGAATAAGAATGAGATCTTGGTAATCCATGTTAAAATAATAAAGCAAACATGGTTTATTATAGCCAAATTTAATGTGATTATAATTTAGCTAATTTACTAGTGCCAAATTAAGTGTGATTATAATTTCAATAATTTATAATGTTGACTTTCCTCTTCTGAGTTATTGAAGTAAATAAAATTTCGATGAAGAATTGTATCTTTGATAACAAAATCTTATTTTGGCAGAGTAAAATAAAATTCATTTAGATTTCAGAAGCTAAAGAGGAATTAAATTAAAATTATAAAGTCATTAAATTCTTTAGTGAATTAAAAGTTTGAAGTAATAGAATGAGGAGTTGTCTTTTGAGACTGTTAGGGTAATGATCCAGGAGAGATGAAAGACAGTTCACAGGGAAGACTTGTTCTGCTTTGTAAAGAATGAGTGGGAAGAAGGTGGGAACACCCCAATTTCATAAGGATATTTAAACAATGGGAACTGTTCCTGAGTAAATGTCCAAATTGATTAGGTGGCTACAAATTATAGGAAGTACCAAAGAAACTGAGAAAGTGTCAGTTAGAGACTTGGTTCTAGGGTAAGAAAAGTTGAAAGATTAGCACGGTATCTAGTCTTATATTTAAATAAAATGAAATATTTGGTCCATCTAGAGCCATAGCTAGGATCAGGCATATTTGTCTAGAATGTAAAGTTCTGTTTGTAAAATCACCCATGGATGTTATCTGGGTGCCCTCACCTACTACTTACAGAGGCAGTAGAGTCGTTACCTCCAAAGCCCCTTTATTTCTAATGTTTTTTAGTTGTAGGTGCCATTCATAGCAGTGGTGTTTTCTTTTGTCCATTAATGCTTTGGCCCTGTTCATGTACTGTGGGGGAGAAGGAGGAAAATTGGTGACTTTACTTACCATCTGCTGTGTAACAGATGATGTCAGTCAGCTTTCAGTTGTCATAATGTTGAAGTGATAAACCTTGTAAGAGAAAGGCATATTTTGGCTCATATATTTTTAGTCTCTGATTTGTGATTGTCTATGGTGTTAGCCATGTGACAACACCTCATGACAACAGCATGTGATAGAATCAAACTGTTCATCACATGGCCTGGAAATAAAAGTGAATGATTAAGAGACCAGAGTCCTACAGCCCTGTTAAGTGGCATGCTGCAGTGGCCTTAAGATGAGGTCTCACATTGGGACCTATCTCTTAAAAGTTTCTGCTAGTACCTTTCCATGGTGCCAGGCTGGGGACCAGTCCTGTAACACAGAACCTCTGAGAGACTCCGAAGAACTGTCCAAACTATAGCAGATGACATAATGTGCATTGTTTGCATTTGATTGTCATATGACCTTTGAGAGTAGACACCAGGTAGTAATTTCTGTTTTAGAACAAAAACCATTTAAATTGCCATTCTCCCCCCGGATTTATTTATTTTTATTTTATGAGTGTTTTGTCTGCATGTAGCTGCACAATGTGTGTGTGTCTTGTATATCAAGAGGTCAGAAGGTGTTAGATCCCCTGTAACTGGAGTTATGGATGGTTGAGTTGCCATGTGGGTGCTGACAATCAAACCTGGGATGTCTACAAGAACAGAAAATGCTTCTAACCACTGAGCAATTGATATAACCCTTTCTATTTTTGCAAAGGTTTATTTTCTTTTTATTTATGTGTATGTGTGTATTTGAGTATATGGGGTGTGTGTGTGTGTTACCTTCAGAGGTCAGAAGAAGACTTCACATATCCTGGAGCTGGAGTTACAGGTGATTGTTAGATTCCCAGTTGTTGCTGAGAACTGGGATCCTCTGGAAAAGTGGCAAGAATTCTTAACTTTTGAGTCATCTGTTCAACTTTTTCTTTTTCAAAAATGTTTTTATTAGCATAGAATAGTTATATGTAGTAATGGGTTTTATTGTGATAATTTTAAAACACATAAGCATTTTGGCTATATCTAGCCACCATTATCTTCTCTTGTCAGTTCTCAAGACCTGTGCTTTCCCTCCTCACCACAGAATGTTGAAGGACAAATTTTGTGCAGATCATTTTCTTAAAATAGTTTTTGTGCTTTGAGAATTTCATAAATGCATACTATATATTTTGGTCATATTTACCATGTCCCTTTCATTCATAGTTTGATACTATGTTTATTTAGTAGTCCCTATTTCCTATTCCTCCCAAATTTATGTTCATTTTTTCTTCTTTTATAAAACCCAGCAAGTTCAATTTGTTCCAACCATATGCTCATGGGTATAGGACATTGTGTGTTTTGAGGCCTACGTACTGGGGCTACACTCCTAAGAAAAACTGACTTTTCCTCCCCTAGAAACCATCAGTTGTCAATAATTCCCTGGTTAGGTGTGGGGTCTTGTGGACTCTTCCCCATTTTATGACTTTGTCAGGTCTTTTGTGGGTAGCCAGAGCTGCTATGCACTTATAAGTGAAGTCCTGTCATGTCTAGAAGACTCTATTTCAGTGTAGACCTCTTGACCTGATCCTTATTCTTTCTGCTCATTCTCTGAGATTTTATATAGATGTTTCATTTGTGATTGAGTACTTCACATATTTGAGCAGTTTTGAGTTTCTGTACTTACTGCCCCCCAGTGCATAAAGAAACTTTTCTGATGAGATCTGAGCACTGTCCTAATCTGTAGTTTAGAGATAAAAATCTAGAGAGCAGTTTGATACTATGTTCATTTAGCAAAATAATAGTAGTAGGATCACCCCTGGAGAATATGAGCTCTCACAAGTATTGGTTCCTGGCCAGGTTTACAGTAAGTACCAGGCATGTGTTATCCCCATAATATCCTTGTCTGTGTTGTACCCATGAGTTTTATTTTTGCCAAGCTACTGAAACTCACAGGGTTCTCTAGCTAAGACTGTTGATGACTTACCCCCAGCAGAACACATAGTACCTTCCAGTACTGTGAAAGCTAGCCAGTAGTGAGGTACCTTCCTGGTCAGTACCAGCTTGGTTTCTCCATGTTCTATGGCCAAAGTGTGTCTTCCACAGAATGATCTTACCAAATGGAAATAGCCTGTATTGCTTTAGGGGTGTCTGTAACAACCTTTACTAAGCAGTTGAAAGGATGTATCCCACACTTAACTACTGGGTTTTTATTACCCCTTCTTCACTCTACCCTCCCTTCCTTTCTACTTTCCCATTTTCCCCTCTTTTATGCAGATCTTGTGAAGGCAATCACACCTGGAATCTGTGTTCCACATGGACTCCCCTTCCTCTGGTGCTATAACATTATTACCCCACTTCTGTGATAATCCCTGAGACTTGAAGGGGTTGCTGAAACATCTGTTATAACTGGCCATTCAGCGGCTCCTTATCCTTAGCACTATGACCAATTATTAGTCTTTATAGACTACTTACTGCTGCAAAAAGAAGCTTCACTGATTCAAAGTTAACAGCAGCACTAATATAGGGACACAAACATTATTTCGGAAGCAATTTTGTTGATGTATAGTACTCATTTAACAAAAGAACAGCAATAACATTACTAGGGCTTATAATCTCAGCCAGAGGATTTTGAACAGGTTTGCAGTAGCAAGATCTCAGATCTATCTAGTCAGAAAGCAGTTGATCTCCTCAAAGCAGTGGTGGGGTTGCCACTGTTGCACTAGTGACTGTATCCTGCCTGGCTTGGTGCATGCAGAATCTACAGCTGAATAAAACTTTTGATAACTTCCCTGGAGCAGCCTAAATGGCACACCTGAGGACTATGGAGGTATACCAGTACAGAGGAGCCTCCAGCCCAGTTTCAACTTGCTTTTTTTGTTTTGTGACCCTCGCATATGTCCACTTCAGCAAGGTTAGGTCTAGCCGGGCCGTGGTGGCAAGCGCCTTTAATCCCAGCACTCCGAAGGCCAGGCAGATTTCTGTAAGTTTGAGACCAGCGTGGTCTACAAGAGTTAGTTCCGGGAGAGGCTCCAAAGCTACAGAGAAACCCCTTCTCGAAAAACCAAAAAAAACAAAAAAACAGTCTAGTGAGCAATCAACAGCAGTGGCAATTGCCTATATTGTTTGGGGGCCTTGGGACTCTGATCAACACCTTGAAGCAGTAGTCCCCTGCCGGCAATGAGAAGATCATTTAATGGCTTTTGCAAACAGCTACCTACCACACAGGGTACCTCCATTCTAACTCATACTGTTCTGATAGCTTACCAAGCATTGGATTTTTATCCCCTGCACCCATAATTGGTTTTAGTTTGACTCTCTTCCCCTTTCTGGCTTCTCTCTTTGTTCTCCTCCTCACTTAAACCTTTCTACCCCTAGAATTACCTCCTTTTGTATCATATATTCCCCTCCCCCCATAGAATGTTTTTCTTTTTGTAGTATTGGTAATTGAATCTAAGGTGTTGAACTCTAGTATCCTAGCTAAAGTCACTAGCTTTTGTTTTCCTTCCTTCCCTTCCCTCCCACCCGCCCACTCTTCCTCCTTCCCTCCGGTTTTGTTTTGTTTGTTTAAGACTGGTTTCTTTGCTTAGTCCTGGCGGTCTCTCACTCCGTTGACCAGGCTGACCTTGAACTCAGATATCTTTCTGCCTCTAACTTCAGAGCGCTGGGATTAAAGGTGTGTGCCACTACGCCCAGATGTGTCTGCTTTTTAAGGACCTATGAATCTTCTTTTTAAAAAATAACAACAACAACAAAAAAAGAAACAAAAAACCACTTGATATCTCCTGGCATCACTGAGAGTGCTTGGGGATTAAATGCTACATAGAAAGGATAGATTTGGCACTTCAGCTTAATATTTGTCATGATTAGAAATAATTAATTATCTCTTTAACTCATTATTTTAGCATTTGTTTCCAGTTAGGTTTTTCTGGGAACTTCCTTTTAAATTTCTAGTTGAAACGTATTAAATTCTCTTTCACTCTGTTAGTTTTACTTTGATGTAAAGGCTTTGCATTGGATGTAAACCAATGTACATCCAATGTTAAAAGCTATTTAACGAAATGACCTAGGTCCTCTGGGCTATAAATAATCTTACAGATAATAAATCAATAGTTTACTGATGAACTTAGATGAGTAGAGAGATGAGTTTTATCAAGTTGATCATTGACATATCCAAAAGAAATGTAATATTTTCACATTTAAAGTAATATTTTCTCACTGAGAAAGCAGTTTGGCCTCTAAATCCATGTACTGATAGGAAAACAAAAATACCAGTTTTCTTATATGAAATACTTGATATACTTAACCATATGTTGTTAAATACAATTTTTGGTTTACTTTAAGCTTATTTTGTTAACTTTTATCTTCTTTCCTTTACTGTGTCTAGAAGAGTGTGGTTGCCTTAAGACAACTTCTCCCTAACTCCCAGAGCTTCATTGAGAACTGTGTTCAGGAACTCTCTGGTGAGGTGGTTGTTCCCTCCTGTACCACGACAGCAACAACTTCTGTGGTGACAAGTACTGTTTCCCCCGTCCTTGGCTCTGGAGCAGCAGTGCCCAGAACTCTGTCTGTTCAGACTCTGAATCCGCTTTCTGGTCCAAGAGGAGCAAACACTGGGGTTGTGACACTACATCCTGTGGCCCCAGCTGCTGTAACAGGGGGTACAACACCTACGACTGTGTTGCTGCAGACTTCAAAACCACTTACAACGTCGGTACCAAATCCAGGGACAGCAGTCTCCTCCCTTCAGCCTGAGAAGCCAGTTGTGTCTGGGGCAGCAGTTACACTGGCCCTTCCAGCAGTAACTTTTGGAGAAACTTCGGCTGCACCTCTTTGTCTTCCTTCTGTAAAGCCTGCCATCACCTCTGCTGGGACCAAACCTGAAAAACCTGTCATTGGCCCTCCAGTCCAGATGAAACTTGCACAGCCAGGCCCCCTCCTTCCACAGTCAGCTGGCATTCCACAGGCGGTCAAAGTCAAGCAACTAGTGAGTAACAGTTCATTTCTTCCTCAGCTACCTGATTGGCAAGACTTCGTATACTTTCCAAATGTGACTAGTTAAGGGTTTTTTTTTTTTTTTTTTTTTTGCCTTGCTTGGTCAATTTTCCTCTTTATAACTACATAGAGAAGCTCACTCATAGTGTTTACTGAACATCTGAGAGTATCTGGAAGTGTGACTGTGTACTTTAAAATTTTATGTATATTTGTCCCTTCTCTTTTCACTCCCTTCCTCCCGCCTTTCTTCCCTTCTTCTTTTACAGTGATAGTGTGCTAAAATGCCTTAAGCATTCTACACAAACATTCTCCCATTGTCTATATCGCTGACCTTTTTTGTTTGTTTGTTTGTTTAACTTATTTCCAAGTTGATTTTAAATTTGCAATCTAGGAAATACATGATTGTGCCCACATGTGTGACTGTGTATCTCCTAATGAAAAGGATGGTTTTTAAATTTACATAGCCAAACCTATTGTCACACATGGGACATTGATATAAAATTTATTAGTTGTCCCAATATTAATCACTTTAAAAAATTGTTTTTAACATTTATTTCCTTTGTTTCGTGTGTGTGTGTGTTTTGCTAGCTTGCTGCATGCGTGAGACTCACAGATCCTCTTCCCTTTGATTCCGAAGTGTTGGGATTACATTGTAATGATTTAAGTGCTTAGGATAAATATTTGATAGAAGTCTCTTTGTTTTTTATTATTGCTTCAATATTACATTAGGTCTAAATATTTTTGGGAGCTATTACATAGGTGGTTATTATGATGACATTATTTTAGTACTGAAGATTGAAGCTAGGGCCTTGTTCATTCTGGGCAAATGTTCTATCATTGAGCTGTAACTTTAGTCTTTTGTAGTGTTCGTTCCCTCCCTCCCTCCCTTCCTCCCTCTCTCTCTCTCCTCCTCTCCTCCCCCTCCCCCGTGTGTGTGTGTGTGTGTGTGTGTGTGTGTGTGTGTGTGTATCTACAGGTGTATAGAAACCAGAGATTGAAATTAGATTTTTTTCTGGATTTCTGTCCACTTTATATTTATTTCTGCATATGAGTGTCTGAGTGAATATATTACACCTGTCAGAACTGGGAGCTGTAATTACAAACAGTTGTGAGCCTCTGGAGAGCTGTCTCTCCATTCTCTTCACAGTCGAATCCTCCTGTTTCTGCCTTCAGTATTGGATTTATAGGCTTGCTCCACTATCCCAGCTTTGTGGGTACTGGGAGCACAATTCATTAAACTCATCCTTCCACCACCCTTTTTCTTTTTCTTTTAAAACAGGGTCTTAGCTGGACAGTTGTGGCCTTCAATCCCAGCACTTGGGAGGCAGAGTCAGATGGATCTCAGTGAATTCCAGGACACCAAGACTGTTAGACCAAGAAACCTGGTCTCGAAAAACAAAACAAAAAGTCTCTAGCAGGGCATGGCACATTCCTTTAATTTCAGCACTTGGGGAACAGTGGCAGGTGGATCTCTGTGAGTTTGAGACCAGCCTGGTCTACAAAGCAAGTTCCAGGACAGCAGAGAAACCCTGTCACAAATACAGAAACCTAAAACCAACCTAGGGTCGCTTTGCCCACGCTAACCTTGAACTTGCAACCCACCTGCTGACCTCATATTACCAAGTAACTAGTATCATAGGCTTGTGTTGTTAGGTGTGATTCTTATTTTGCCTTTAATATTTAAAAAAATGCTAAGGAATTTAAAGTTGAAAGTAATTTAAAAATATCATTAGGTCTATTATAAACCATAATCCTATGTTTAGGTGAGGAAGAAAATGCTTAGGAAATAGAGGTAAAAAGAAGCGAGCAAACATTTCTTTATAGTTAACCACACAAAGTTATTTAAAAATGAAAATCTCCACATTGGATCATATCTGTGGTCAAGCTCTATTCACTATAAAGAAGATGCATATTATAAAGAATATGCTCTTGAATGCCCTGATTAATGTCAGGATACTTTCTTTAATAATTTTTTGGTGAACTGTAACTTTGTTAATTAATTCAGGATGTGTTTTTTCAGGCACTACTTTAAAGTGAATACAATTCTAGCATCATTAAAACCACACAGACACAATTTAACAAAGTATGAGACAAAGTTTATTCTTTACGATGTCTTACTTGCATTCATTAAAAATCTGAGAAAGGCTAAATCAGTCTTTTATTAGTTATCTTACATCAAGAGGAAAATAGAGCCTAATTACCTAATGGGTTCTGGAACAATGGTTTGAGAAGACTTGACTTTGAAAGAGTAAGATTTCTCGCAAGTCCAATCAGAAGTTTGTAAATTGCACCATGGAACACAAAAGCAGAGTAGTTGAAGAAGACTGTATACTTGTATTCCTAATACTATTCCGGGTTCTAGGTTGGACATGTGCTCTGAACTCTTGGTTGGCTCTTTGGTCACTGCTACATTTGCAAAAGTACTAGTTTATGTTCTGGACCCTGGCACTCCGTTCAGCCCTTTTCTCCATCATGCTTTATTGCTACTGCTTTCCAGCACAGCCCTGCTTCCTTTCTCCCCTAATCTGCAGAGGCTGGCTGTCAGACCTGCTAACTATTTTCCAGTCTGACTTTAAGGAAGACATCATCTGTTTATAGTAGGCCCTTTCTGAGATGAGCCTTATGCCAATATCACTATTCTTTAATAAAATTAATATAAGTAGCATCTTTGACATCAGAAGATATATTTTTGGTCTCCTGATATGTAAATGTAGCCATTGGTGAGACATCCAATACTGCTAACCAAAGCTTTATCTCCTTCAGCTTCTCTTTGCCAGAATAGCCAAATCTTACTACTCTTTGTTTCACAGTCAGCCAACCAATAACTATATCTATATTCATACTATGATAATTCTTTTAATATTGATCATGAGCTTAAGATTTTCTTACTATTTACCTTTCATTAGAATAATTCTGGAGAGTTTTATATCTTTAGGCTTTTGCATAAGATCTCCACACAAGTTGTAAGAATTCTTCCAAACTACCATTACATGGTTTCAATTCATATTTTATGAAATACATTTTACCCACCACCACTTTAAAGAGTGGTGCATGCTCTCTTTTCTTCACATGTTACCCCTTTTTTCTTGTTAACTGTTGTATGTTATATTCAGGGTTTAATGTTATACAGGGGTTATATGAACTAAAATTTCTCAGTTTCTTTTGGTTGTAAGCTTTTATTTTGTACACAAATATTTGAAATGTGAGCCTTCTTGGTAGTCTGGGAATTTTTGTAAGAATTCAGTTCTTGTAAAGGCTGATTTTACTGGCTCTCCATCATTTTTCCTATAGTAGTTACACACTCAAAGTAAATACTAACCTTTTATTTTATCATTAGCTGTTTTGTATAGAAACAACCATGTGAGTTTTGATCTGGTTTATTTCCTTTGGCTGGTAAGGATTTGAAGTGCAGGAACACTCTCCAGTGAAGCAGGTAGCAGTAGAGAAAACTCACCATAAGCAAGAACAAACAGAATCAGCAGTTTAAGAAAGGCTTTTGTTGGGCTGGAGAGATGGCTCAGTGGTTAAGAGCATTGCCTGCTCTTCCAAAGGTCCTGAGTTCAATTCCCAGCAACCACATGGTGGCTCACAACCATCTGTAATGAGATCTGGTGCCCTCTTCTGGCCTGAAGGCATACATGTAGACAGACTATTATATACATAGTAAATAAATAAATATTTTTTTAAAAAAAGAAAGAAAGGCTTTTGTTGAGGGTGAAGAAACACATATACCACAAACACACAGACAAAACAACCCAAAACTCCTAGGCATCATTTCTTGATGGCTCAGCTCAGGGCCCTAAGGTTCTCTGGTCAGTAGAGCTTCAGCAAAGTACATCAGCAGGCCAAGTAGGACAATGAAGAGGGTGATGACACTCCTGGGGGTAGTACCAGTCCTAACACTCCTGCGGCAGTACCAGTAGTGAGTCATAACACCTTGCACTGCATCTGGATGGTGCTCTGAACCACATAGGATCCAGGCCACAATGATGCTGTTGCTGCTGAAGGCTGTCACCTTCATCATGGGCAGGGCACAGGACACCAGGGCATTGATTGGCACAGCCAGGCAGGGTCAGGACTATCCTCAGGATTGCAGACCAGCACAGGCCATGGTAAGGCTGAGGGGGCTGTAAAAGAGACAGCAAAGATTGCTAGGTCAAAAGAGAGATTCTTTTCTGATTGTCAGTCTGAATGCATAAAAATGTATTACTTCATTAAGCCCAAACCCTAGTAATTCAGAATATGCATGATCTCAGATCTCAGTTCATATCTTGATTGAAATATATATTATTTTTTTAAAAGAGTTCTTTTCTAGCCTGACTTTGTGGTTCAGGTCTGTAATCCTAGTTACTCAGGAGGGTGAGGTAGAAGCATCACACATTTAAAGCCCACCTAAGCTACTTAGTTTTAAGACTCTCTCAAACATATAACACAACTTTTATCAAATAATGATGGCAAATGAATTATTCCAACTTACATCTCCATTGCTAAGAGACCTCTTCTAACAAACAGTGATAGCAATTGAATTATTTCTATGTCTATAATCTATGGAATGCTGTGTGTTTCTTGTTACTTTTTTTTTACTTTTTTGAGACAGGTCATATTATGTATCCCTGGCTAGCCTGGAACTTGCTGTGTAGACTAGGAACTCATACAGATCCCCCTGCCTCCTGAGTACTGAGATTAAAGATACGTACTTGCAGTGCTTTGCTTGCTACGTTTTTTTTTTAGTTGTACACACTTGATTTGTACATTTTTATTACAGATAATTATAGTATAGAATAAATTGTTTTTATAAATTTTTACTTAGAATCATTTCTCTTGGGCAGACCATCACACTTTATATAAATATAAGAACTTCTAATTATATCACTATCAGTAGCTGGCCCAAATACATGATGACTTTTTCTTCTTTGAAGTGAAAATATGACATTCTGCTTTTCTGTCTTTTCTCTGAAGCTGAAAATAATAATCTTGTTAGTACTTTAGTTTCTCTTTATCCCCAATCATTACTGTATTTCTGTAACTATTATTTGAGAGAACTGTGCTTTCTGAAAGGTTTAGGATGATACTTTTTAAAAAATAGTACATAAACATTCTTGTCTTTTATAGATATACTTTGGAATATTATGGATAAAAAAGATATTTCTTAAGCCAGGTGGTGGTAGCGCACGCCTTTAATCTCAGCACTTGGGAAGCAGAGGCAAGTGGATCTCTGTGAGTTTGAAGCCAGCCTGGTCTACAGCACAAGCTCCAGGATAGCCAAAACTGCACAGAGAAAACATGTCTGGAAAATACGAACAAACAAACAAAAATTTCTTTATTTGCTTTAAAATTGGGAAGTGGGTAACATGTGATTATGTAAGAATTAATCATTATTTAATCTGGCTAGTGGTGTAATGGTTTCATTTTTGTTCTCTATATTTTGCATGTGTTTGAAATTTTCCATGGTAAATTAAGAAAAGTATTATCTATATGATTTATTTCTTAAATTTGAATTCTGCTGTAGAAAATGATTTTAATATATGTGATAATGTTTTTCAGTTTTGAACGAGATAATTTTGCTTCATACAAATTAAACTGGGTATGGTGATAGACACCCAAATCCCAGGTAGCATTCAGGAAACTGAGGCAGGAGGATCCCCATGTCTCAGAGGCCATCCTGAAGATGAATTTTAAGTAGGCTTTCTTATTGTGTTAGATAGAGAAAAACTGTGGAAACTCTTGTTCATGGCTAAAGCGTGCTTTTTTGAGTGGCTATAATGAACTCTTACTGTTTCAGGTAGTTCAACAGCCTTCAGGAGGCAATGCAGATCAAGTGACCGCTATTTCCCATTCATCACCATTGACCGCTCAGAAATGTGGACCGAAGATGCTAGCGAATACTATAGTGCCTACTAGTAAGTTTCCTCCATGTAGTGCTGGCATTCCAGGTTCATCACAGTGAATCTGGAATATGACAGGACTTGCGCCTGTTGTATCAAGGGAAGACTGAAAGATAGTTATTACATTTACAGAGGTACTCTTTAGGGGTATATATTGTTTTAAAACAAACAACTGCTTATGGTGTTGTATTATTACATTAACCATTCTAGTAGTAAATGTGTATTAATAATATCACAATGAATATCAACATTTTTCTGTCACTTTTTGTGTATGATGTTTTTATAATGATTCTAACTCTAAAGACAATTTGAGACTACATGAAAACATAATCTAGAGGTCTTTATAAGATGATTTCTTATTCAGGGGTTTCATTCACTGTCCTTTTATAATTTAAACATAATTCTGTGGTAGCTTAAGATAATCTTTGATTATTTTATATGTATTAAAAGCTGTCCTGAATTTTCCTAATGTGACATGATTGCTATTTTTTTTTTTTGTTTTAATTCTGTTTTCTTTCTTGTTTTGTTTTTACAGCTTCCATCATAAAACAAATTACTCTGCCTGGAAATAAACTTCTCTCGCTTCAAGCTCATACATCTTCTATTCATAACAATAAAATAAAAGAGAATGGAGCAACACGCTTCAGGTAAAGAAAATCAGTAGTTAAAACTTGATCTGATGTGTAGAAATAAAGTTTTAGGGGAAAAAGATGTTAAAGAATAATTATAAATAAACAGGTACGAATGTTGTTTATAAATACTGAAAGAAATAGCCCTGGTTTGATTCCTAGCACCCACATGGCAATTCATAACCTTCTGTGAGTCCAATTTCAGTGAATCCAGTGGCCTCTTCTGGCCTCCCTGGCACCAGGCATTTTTTATAGTGTACAGACATAAATGCAAGCAGTATAACCACGTACTTTATAAATAATTTAAAAACTGACTATAATTTACAAATATCAGACACAAATCTTGTGTGCTTTTTTTCAGTGTATTGGAAAAGCCTGCATAGTAGTAGTCTAGACCCAGGCACTAAGCATGTCCGCTATCACCTTCCTGTCCTCTTCAGGCCATTTAGCTCCGTCCCATGCTTCTGTCAGGTCCTATTCTTAGGCTTGCCACTGCACTACAGATCATTTTTGTTTATTCTTGAACTTTATACATTAGAATATTATTACTATTCTTTTATTTCCAATTTTATTTCTGTAGTGTCAGGTAATGACAATTAGGAATGTTATGAAAATATTAAGTGTAAAATTCTGGAAATAATCCATATGTTTAAATATGTCATTTTCAATGGCATGACAAACACGTTGTCATCACGTTCAGCAGGTGAATCATTCCTTGTTCAATGTGTCCAGAATTAACATGCTGCCCACTGCTTGGTCAGTTGGTGGCCACCACAATTATCAAATGAGTCAGTGCATGTGTTCAGATAGTTTAGGTTTGACTGTCACAATGCCTGTGTCACTCACTTTGCTTCATCTCCTTATGTAGGCATTTTATTTTCTATTCATGTCATCATACAAAGGGTGAGTCCTGGTTATTTTGAGGACTGAGAAGAACCTCATTATACTCTTGTTAAAGTATATTGTTTTAATTCTAATTAGCCTTACTGCACCTAATTTACAGATTAAACTTTATTGTAAATGTCTATTTATAGAAAAAAACCCCACCATATACGTAGGTCTTGGTTCTAGGACTTCTTGTTCAATTCCAAAGTCCTTAGATGCTCATCTTTTCAGGAGCTAGATGTTTTTTGACATTTTGTCTTTTTTGCTGTAGTTGTTTCTCTTTTTTCTTGTGGTACTTTGAGTTTATAATTTAATCTTCAGAATGGGTGCTTGTCAAATATCTCTTTCCAAATTATTTTCTGACATGGGGTATATTAGCCATTCTCTGATAGTGTACTTTGTCCCTATGGCAATTGCTACCTCTACTTTCTCTTTTCTGGGGCCCTTCCTGTTTACCACAAGGCTTGAGGCAGGTGCCCGTGGCATGTTGGACAAATACTAGGCATTGTAGATCAGTGGCTTTATCCTGAGCTTTCTTTCCATTTTTCATTTAGAAATAATTTGTAGTTTGGATATTCAGGCTACACAGAGACTGTAGCTATTGTTCAGTATTGTTTTGGGAGGAAATCTTGAAAGACAACGGGATATTTATGGAATAGTGTTTTCCAGTTCAGTAAGTATTGACAAAAGGATAAACCCATGTGCCAGGTACCATAATCAAGATAAAACGAATATTTTCAATATCCCACAAGGTTTTTTTGTGCTTGTTTTTTTTTTTCATCAGCCAGTCCTCACATTACTTTCTGGACCCAAGACTACCACTGATCTGATTCTTAACATTGGAAGTTAGATTGATGGTTAAGGTGCTCCCTATTTCTAGCCTCCAAAGTTGGAGTTCATTAAACTTCAGTTTTTCTTGTTCTAAACATTTAAAACTGCCAAATTCCCTCAAATACTGACCATTGAAGTTTTGCTTTATTTTTCTCATGTTTGTATTCTGCTTCCTGTTTAGTAGTGCAAGTATTTGAGATGGCTCTCAGACGATTACAATAAAGTAGTCATAATTGAGTATAATAAAGTATTCTTTATTTAGGGGTAAACTCACAGATCAACAGTCTTATACAGAAGTGGAGAGCAAAGAACAGGAACCAAATCCAGAAACAAAGAGGCTGCCACATGTTTCTACATCTGTTTATATAGTACATATGGCCTATGCCAGTATCTTAAAGGCTATTGGCTGAAGGAGTTCCCACAGTACCTTACAGTTTTGTCTAAATAAGAGCATTCTACGCCTAATACAAAACTATATACAATATGAACAAATGTTAACTATAAAAATTAGAATTACAACCAGCATAAACAATATTAAGCAAGAAACATGTTAAATGTTTCACTACTTGTCCTATCCTAAGGAATCTAAGTCTTTTATTAGAAATGGCTTGTCTAAGTGATGAGAGGAAAGTAGCTACTATCTAGTCTTCAACCCATGGAAGACCTGAGAAGGGAAGTAATATTACTTAAATAAATAGGAAGTGCAAACAGGCAACTTCCAAAATGTGTGATAAGTGACAGAGACAACCTGGGCAATCACCCAAAGTCTCATTTGCAACATTGGGCCAATCAACTTTGGCTTAGAGTTACTAACAGACCATTTTCAGAAGTAGGAAAATTTTCAAGACCATCTTATCCTGTGTTGGCAAGGATTGGCAGGCAATCTTTTTTTTCTTGTATCATGCTTGTCTGAAGTAATAAGGGCGGCGGGGCTGCGTCCCCAGCACCCCGGCCGCCTGCTCGGCTAGCTTATGCCCCAAAATAACAACACACAAACTGTATTCTTTTAAGCACTGCTTGGCCCTTTAGCTCTAGCACTTACAGGCTAATTCTCACATCCCGATCAACCCATCTCTAATAATCTGTGAGAACCGGTCTTACCGGGAAGATTCTAGCCTAGTCCATCCTGGGTCGGAGCTTCATGCTGGGAGCGGGGCATGGCGTCTCTCTCAGGCGTCTGCTCCGGATAGGAGAGCTGTGTAGTCTCTGAGCTCACTTCCTCTTCCTCCCAGCGTTCTGTTCTGTTTACTCCTCCCACCTATCCTCTAACCAATAAAATGGGCCAGGGCAGTGCCTTTATTAGCCAATGACCTTCCTCCATCACTTGTCTAGTCTGGACATTGTGCATTTTGTCAGTGGTCAAGACAGGGACAATTCTTTGCCCAAAGTTCATATTTTGACAAGAAGAAAAGAAGCTCCAAGTGGACCTTGATCATCATTCTCTCGGGAATAGATTGGTGTTGCCAGGAGCGATCATGTCTCACTTCAACAGAACCCTAAGTTATTTAAATACCATATTCTACAGCTCTTTGAAGTGGTTGAAGATTACTTATCTATGTGAAATACAGTCTCTATATATCTAAAGAACCTGATTAGTCTAACAATGACAAACATGGATGACGATTGACCTATAATCCTTAATACCTATATAGCTTAAAGATTAAGGCTTCATATTAGAATATTAGACAATTTTTAAACAAATGTGCAGCAAATGAGATCAGTGACCTCAAAATGTAAACAATGTAAGTATCTTGATCAGAGGTAGAAATGTATAGTGCAATATGATAAATAAATATATTTTTAAATTGTATCAGTAAACTTGCATGCATACAATATGGCAAAATAACTATGCATAGTTGTACAAATATTGTAAACAGAAATAGGAACATATTCAATATAACAAATATAATTTGAATTTGTATCAATATACAAGAATCTTTACCAATGTAAATTGTCTATAAATAATAGCTCACATTGATCGACTATTACTCTATTGTTAGTGTGAGTAAGCTCACACTGATCGACTTATTATCTTTTCCAATCCCCTCTCCCCTTTTAAAAGAGATCCCTGAGCCTATATAATTTCCACCCCAACCCCTAACTGTATACTAGTTATATTCAACCCCTAATTGATGTTTGTAACCCCGAGGACAAACTTTGTTGGGAGAGGGGATGTTGTTTTCTAGAATTCCAGCTTTCATGCGAGTGATGTTCTTTCTGTAGGATTCTATAAAAATTAAAACGATGGTTCAGTTTCAAGATTATTGTCTATTATAATTGCAAATAGTCTCTGAGTAGTTGGTAGAGTTTTCTGAAGTTCTTATTAGAAGTTCTGACCAGAATGTTGTAAGAAGGTGTATAATTTCAGCTAACCAAGTTGGAATCATCTTGTGCAACTGTTACCCAAAACTGATTTTAAAGTAGTGCTATCACCATTATGATATCATATTAACCAGGTGGAATTGTTGTGGTGTCCCATCTTCTTTCTGGAAAGTTCAAAGATTACTACAGGAAATTCATTGTTTACTGTGGAAAACGTAAACATTATTCATATAGACATATGTTCAACAAAGGATATGATTGAGACAAAAATATTTATGGGGAAAAGTAAAATTTTTCCTAAATTCTTTCTTCTTTCTGTCCCATACCATATGGCTCCTGATATGAGATAGAAACTCTGAATTTTCTTTTAACAACATGCTTGGGTTTAGAAAAGGATAGCCATTGTCCAACTCTAAAGCCAGCTTTGATTTTTAAGTGTGTGTGTATAGATAGACAGACTGACAGACAGACAGACTGACAGACAAGACAGACTGATAGATGTTAAATAAATTTTACCCTGCAGATGATATGTCTGCCTAAGTCAGATTTCTCTTTGCTTGGTGATCCTTTCTGGATAGTTACCTTTTCTTATTTAGGTTTCCAGATATCCAAGGTCTCTCAGTTTTTTAAAGATGGGTATTTTCCTGCAAAGACAATTACAGAACCCTACCCCAAACCTTAAGAGGTTTCCTTACCACCTGTATGATTGTCACCTCTGTGGATGAGCTGTTATTTCTTTTTCTCAAGAGGTTTGTTTTTTCCAAACTGAATATTGATTAATTTTGATGGTATCCACGGCTTTTCTTCTCCTGTGGAAACCAAAGCAAAACCCCTTCCCCAACGTAACACATCTACTGGTCAACACATCTTTGAAATACACTAGCAGTGATTTAATTCAGAAGTTTTTTTTTTTATTATCCAATGTCTCTGCTGATGTTGTTTCTTTCTCATTAGCATTAAGACAATTTAAGGTTAATAAA